TTTTCTTTACTTAGTTAACTTTTATCTTATTTATTTATATTTCTTTCTTTCTTTATGTTTAACTAAGTTTATTATGTCAAGGTGAAAATGTTACATTAATGGTATAAGAATAAGTATAATATAAACTTTATTATTTGATACTAACATGTTTTTTATTTGTTATATTGTTTACTCTTTAATATTTTACTTGTTAAATGACTAATCTAGATTTATGTTGTATAAAATTTGGTACAACAAATGCTTGACACTTTCATGCCCAACTGTATGGTATAAACTAACCTATGCTATGAAAGAAACTTGATTTGTTGTTAACATAAGTTATAATCATAAATGTCTGACAACATTTACAAGTATTAACATTATTTGAATAAGATAACTAATGTAATCATATTAACAATTTATAATCTGATTACAACCTCCTTTGTGTATGGTTTCCAATAAAATAATAAAAATTTATACTATACTTGTTTGACATACCATTAGTAAATCATCTAACCTTGACATTTGTTGTTATTATTGTTTAATCCTTACGTTAATCTTCCATTTTAAAGTTCTCATCAACTTCTTTTTTTTTTCTTCTTTTTCTTTACATGATATAATTGACACTACTAGAAAATTAATAAATACAAACGAAAATATCAAGGGAATATTTTTGTCAGTAAATTACCAACAGATTTTACCGGCGGAAATATTCCCTCGATATTTACCGAGAAAATTACAATGGAAAAAAAAAATTAAAACAAAGAAAAACAATAACGTGCTATTTTTACCAATAAAATTACTGATTCCTTCGGTAAAATTATGGGTAAACTGTGAGCACTATCCATTATGTCAATTATAAAAGAAATCATCGACGGAAACTTCTATAAGTATTTTATAGAAAGCTCTAGAACTATTCACTTCCCAATTGTCTTGTTAATTATTGTTCTTTACAGAAAAAATCACTGATAGATTGAAAAGTTATCAATGTTATTTGGTGGTTTTCTAAAAAAATTACCTTAAATTTAAAATTTATATTAAATATTACTGACGGAATCACTAATGAATTGAAAAGTTGTCGATGATATTTAGTGGTTTTTGAATTTTTTTTAAATTCAAGATTTAAATTAAATATTACAAAGCCTAGAATCTCCATTTTCACAACAGACCTGTGTTATTTCTTCTTCTTCTTCTTCTTTTTATTCTCTTCTCTCCTTAACTCCTTCACTTCTTCATGCTCCAGTATGTCTTTTTCTTCTTTTTCTTCTTTTCTCTCCTCAACTCATCTTTTCCTTCATGCTTATGTCTTTTTCTCATTTTCTATTTTTTCTTCTCAATTTTTTTAATTAGTATACTTTACAAATTTATTTTTTTTCCTCTTCTTAACTTCACTTGCAACTACATGAAAGTAAAAAAATAAAATTTCTTTTTTTTTCATGTTTTTTTTACTATATTTGTTTTTAATTGTTTTTATTCTTAATAATTATATGAATGTTGTTGTAGGATTTTTCTGCATATAAGATCATTTTTTAGTTGATTTATTCATAGGATTTTTAAAAAATTTTCATATGAATTTTTTTAGTTGAATTTATTTTTTCATGTTATTTATTTGTTGCAAAATTGTTTGAGTTGATTTTCTTCTTCTTTTTTCCAAGCATTTTGAGTATTATAGAGTGTTAATTAATATTAATTTAATCATTTTATATTTTTTTAAAATGAATTTTTTAAATATTTTTAAATAATTACTGACAGAATTACATTAGGTAGTTTTCCGAGGGAATTGTCGACGGAATAAAGCGGGCAAATTTTTTTTTTTGCTTGCTATTTTCATTAGTAAATCCATCGATAATAATATTTTTTTATTATTGATGAACAAAAAATTATCAAATGAAAGATTTACCGACAAAATATTTATGTCGGTGATTTTGTTAGTAAATTAATTGTCAATAGAATGATAGTGCAAATACCAATAAAAAATTCCGTTGACAAATCTAAAAATTATGGTAATGTAAAAAAAGAAAAAAAAGACCAAAACAACTCAAAGAGCCAAAAAAAGAAAAGAAGAATTGAGCTCAGTTGCGTAGGCCTAAGGAAAACACAACATGCCTAGGCCATGTTTATTATTTTTTTTTTCTTTTTAAAAGGTTGTCTGCCACTAT